TTTATTAATGAGACTGCGTTAACTACGTAAACCAAAGGTCAGGTTTATTAATGAGACTGCGTTAACTACGTAAACTAAAGGTCAGGTTTATTAATGAGGCTGTGTTAACTACCTAGACTAAATGTAAGGTTTGTTCATGAAACTGTATTAACTATGTAGACTAAATGTAAGGTTTGTTCATGAGCCTGTATTAACTACGTAGACTAAATGTAAGGTTTGTTCATGGACCTGTGTTAACTACGTAGACTAAATGTAAGGTTTGTTCATGAGCCTGTATTAACTACGTAGACTAAATGTCAGGTTTGTTCATGAGCCTGTATTAACTACGTAGACTAAATGTAAGGTTTGTTCATGAGCCTGTACTAACTACGTAGACTAAATGTAAGGTTTGTTCATGGACCTGTATTAACTACGTAGACTAAATGTAAGGTTTGTTCATGAGCCTGTATTAACTACGTAGACTAAATGTAAGGTTTGTTCATGGACCTGTATTAACTACGTAGACTAAATGTAAGGTTTGTTCATGGACCTGTATTAACTACGTAGACTAAATGTAAGGTTTGTTCATGGACCTGTATTAACTAGACAACATACCAAGCTTCGTCATGAGTTTGTGCTAACTACCTTTTCTGATGGGACGTAACTGGATTTTAAATTTTGAGTTTATTGATTTTTCAACGTCAGGCGATTTCTACTCAAACCTATCCCTCCCTTCCCCCCAAAAAAGTACTTTATTGTAAGAACGATAGTCATATTGTACATTGTTGTAAGATCTTATCTTAGAATTGTAGCTCGTTTTAAGACCTCATGTTAGTATTGTAGTCACAATTTGCTTTGTTGTAAGACCTTATGATTGTAGTTTATTGTAAGAACTTAGATTAAGCTTCATAGAAAAATAAATAGATAACTTACACATATTTCACATATCGAAATGTGTCGGTGTGTCGTGAATACGTTTGTACAGATATCTTTCAAATAGGACATACTTCCTCCAGTATCCTAGGGATAAGTTTGGACGGATACCTTTCAAATAGGATATACTTCCTCCAGTATCCTAGAGATAAGTTTGTACAGGTACCTTTCAAATAGGATATACTTCCTCCAGTATCCTAGGCATACGTTTGGACAGATGTCATTCAAATAGGACATACTCCCTCCAGTATACTAGGGATAAGTGTGGACAGATACCTTTCATATCAGATATACTTCCTCCAGTATCCTCCGGCATTCTAGAAATGAAAATTCGTATGAATAGATTTTTTTTTACTGATTAAAAAGAACCAAGATTATCCTTCTATGTTATGCTAGTACTACGAAAGGGGTCTTTAACCAAGATTATCCTTCTATGTTATGCTAGTACTACGAAAGGGGTCTTTAACCAAGATTATCCTTCTATGTTATGCTAGTACTATGAAAGGGGTCTTTGCTTTTCAATAATTTGATATTCTGGGGCTAATTTAAATAAAATATTGTAAATATTGCAACTCAGAAAGATAACATATGAAAGCTGCACATTACTTTACATTAAATTATTCGCCCTGTATTTGAAATTACCACAAATGATTAAGATAATTTTTCTAAGTAGAATAAGATGATGAAGAGTACTCCCTTTAGCCAGAGGGTAAACACCCGAACCCTAACTCACATTTTCAGTTTCAGTTTATTGTGAGAAGTTAAATCCATAACCGATATTTCCAAACATTAGTTTTTAAAGCCAGAGAGTAAACCCAGAGACACATTTATTATAAGTTTCTCACCAGAGAGTAAACCCAGAGACACATTTATCATGATAAGTTTCTCAACATAGAGTAAACCTATGAACACATTTATGATGATAAGTTTCTCACCAGAGTGTAAACTCAGAGACACATTTATTATAAGTTTCTCACCAGAGAGTAAACCCAGAGACACATTTATCATGATAAGTTTCTCACCAGAGAGTAAACCCAGAGACACATTTATCATGATAAGTTCCTCAACATAGAGTAAACCTATGAACACATTTATGATGATAAGTTTCTCACCAGAGAGTAAACCCAGAGACACATTTATCATGATAAGTTTCTCACCAGAGAGTAAACCCAGAGACACATTTATCATGATAAGTTTCTCAACATAGAGTAAACCTATGAACACATTTATGATGATAAGTTTCTCACCAGAGAGTAAACCCAGAGACACATTTATCATGATAAGTTTCTCAACATAGAGTAAACCTATGAACACATTTCTTTCTCATTACAAGTTTCTCGCCAGAAAGTGAACCTATTAACACATTTCTCATTATACTGTTACTCCTCCAGTCGTTAATTAATTTTCCGTAACTTTGTTCCGACGAAACTTTAGC